AATGTTAGAACAATTGTTGACTCATTTCAACATTAATAAACTTTTACACAGAGCGCAGTACGGTTTCACTAAAAACCGTTCCACGACTGATGCGGGGGCCACTATGCTAAAATATATATTTAATGCTTGGGAAAAGTCGCAGAATGCTCTTGGGGTTTTCTGCGATTTATCTAAAGCGTTTGATTGCGTTAATCATCAAACTTTGTTACGGAAATTAAATCATTACGGCATAAAAGATTCCGCACAAAAATTATTGTAATCATATTTAACAGAAAGGACACAAATAGTTGATATTAACGGTACAAAATCAGCCGGATCTCATGTGAAAATAGGCGTTCCTCAGGGTTCAATTTTAGGTCCATTTCTTTTTTTAATTTACATTAATGATTTACCTTTCTTTGTAGAAAATTTTTGTGAAATTGTTTTGTTTGCAGATGACACCTCGCTAATTTTTAACGTTGACAGGTGTAAAACAAATTATGACGATGTAAACAATGCACTTTCCAAGGTACTTCACTGGTTCTCTTCTAATAATCTTAAACTGGATGCGAGCAAAACTAAATGTGTGAAATTTACTTTGCCGAATGTAAAGCATGTTGAAATGGGGGATATAATTCTAAATGGTGAAAAACTAATTTTAGTCGATACAACCGTTTTCTTAGGCGTAACACTAGACCACAAACTTCAATGGAACCCTCACATTACAACACTAGCCGGTAAACTAAGTTCTGCTGCTTATGCAATTTATAAAATAAGACGGCTTACAGATGTCGACACTGCTAGGACAATATACTTCAGCTACTTTCACAGCATTATGTCGTATGGCATTCTAATATGGAGCACGGCCGCAGACATTGAAACAGTTTTTATTCTTCAAAAACGAGCTATAAGAGCTATTTACCGCTTGGGATCTCGAACTTCTCTTAGGGATAAATTTAAAGAAATAGGTATAATGACTGTTGCCTCTCAATACATTTACAATTGTATATTGTTTGTGCGTCAGAACATAAATTTATATACGAGGCGCGATGATGTACATAATTTCAATACCAGAAATAAAGATAAACTCAAATTGCCACCATTGAGACTCCAAAAGGTTCTTGGTTCATTTGTGGGTCAAGGTATATGTTACTATAATAAAATACCAAAAGAAATAATTATTTTACCTTTTAATAAGTTTAAAGTGTGTATAAAAACATGTCTCCTTAAGAAAGGTTACTATACTGTAAAAGATTTCATAAATGATAAATCACCTTGGGCTTAACATAATAGACTGTCGTTTTACTTTGCTAATTTGGTTGAAAATTGTTTAATCGCCACTTCTAAATTTAAAAATAGTACCTAGTTATACTTAACTTTTGTTAATTAATAATATTAATGTGATGGAAGTTGACATCAACACATGTATTCAATTTTTGATGTCATCTTTCAATTGACGACACTGTGTGAAACAAAACAGGGAGAAAAAAATAGCCCTTGCTGAGTTTCTTGCCGGTTCTTCTCAGTACAAGGTCTCCCGCCGTAGATTTACGAACCGATGGCGTAGCGTTTGACTTTCACAAGAGCTTGTAACAGCCTAGACTGAATAAATGAGTTTGAATTTGAATTTAAGTCTCTTTTAGCTATAAGGGGCCGTTCAAGTATTACGTAAGTACTATAGGGGGGCAGGGGGGTCTTTGCGTTGCTTAATTTTGATGACATGGTGGGGTGGGGGGTCGAGATAGTGATTACGTCAGCATCATGGATTTGGGTGCCATGGACTGAAGATTGTATACATATACCAAAAATTCGAAAGAAGTTGGTTTTGTTCGTAATAGGACCTTACTCAATGTTGAATACTGTGTCAATAAAGTTTGTTTCAATGAATATTATGTGCGATAAAGTCCTCTATCTTAAGCCTATTCAAGTACTGCTGCTAATGAAGCTCATGAATGAATAAAAAAAACAATACATTAAAGGAAAAATGCATAGGTACCAATGTTTACGTAAGCACGAGAGGGGGGGAGTAAGAGCTTTGCTTACTTTTGCTGACAAGGGGGAGGAGGGGGTAAATAATTGTAATAATGCGGAATACTATCTAAACACTATTGCCTCTCATGGGATGCTACCAGCTCACACCTTGCCAACACGGTTAAATAGCTGTCTTGATCACGTAATTTTAAAGACAAAAAGTCAGGCTACGACTTTAGTCTTGGACTCGCTTATAACTGATCACACGCCAGTCATTCTTGCTGTTGATCTTAAAATCACTACGCATACCACAAATCGCTTTTACACTCGGCTTGATGAATCTTCATGCCTAAGTGAACTGGAGAAAACTGACCTATCAGTTATTGTTAATTGCACTGATCCGGAGCAGGCAGCTCAGAAGCTTGTAAATATAGTTTCTGCTGTCGTTTCTAAACATACGGTCTCAGTTATCATCCCTAATAGAAAAATAATAATTAAGCCTTGGATAACTCCTGGTATCCTACGCTGTATCCGTCATCGCGATAAGTTGTATAAAAATACAAAAAAAGAACCGGACAACTATACAACACTGAAAATTTATACGCGTTACAGAAACTTCTGCAACAACTTACTCAAAAAGTTAAAAATTGAATATGAACGCAGTGAGTTTCTGAAAGCAAAGAACAATGTAAAGGCTACTTGGGATACAATAAAAAAAGTATCAAATTTAAATAAAAACTCGTGCTCCTCAAGTGAACTGCTATCTCGGCCTGGTCATGCTTCTATTGATTCTATAAACGATTTCTTTGCCAGCGTCGGTGAGAATTTAGCTACAAAAGCTGGCACGGGTAGAGCGCCCCATCGCAGCTTCAATTCATCAGTGCAAATATCACCTAAATTAAACTCAATGATCTTATTAAGCACAGACATCGATGAAGTAGAGCGAACTATCTTAAGCCTAAAAAATACTTCCGCAGTAGGATGGGATAAAATTCCCACATCCGTTCTCAAATCTTGTAAGACGGTTTTGTCACCCGTCCTTACTTATGTCTTTAATATCTGCTTATCAACCGGCGTGTTTCCGAAGGTCTTTAAAAAAGCAATTGTTCATCCAATTTATAAAGCTGGAGATAGAACTAACGTGTCTAACTATCGACCTATTTCTGTCTTGACTGCAATTTCTAAGGTCTTTGAGAAGATCCATCGCCGTCGTCTTATTAGTTATTTAGATGCTAACCATATTATAAGTAAAAATCAATATGGCTTCGTAGCTGGTAAGTCTACGGAAGACGCTGTTTTGGAGTTAACGGATACTGTGGCTAAATGCTTGAACAGCAAGATTAAGAATATGGGTATATTTTTGGATCTCACCAAAGCTTTTGACACTGTTTCCATACCTATTTTACTTAGAAAACTTGAGTTTATTGGAATTCGGGGTCATGTCCTAAATATGTTCAAAAGCTACCTGAGTGATCGTATGCAGTGTACTAAGATTGACGGCCACGTGAGCAATGATAGTTTTATCCGTTATGGCGTCCCACAAGGTAGTGTTCTTGGTCCCACCCTATTTTTAATATATATAAACGATCTTTGCAATCTAACCCTCAAAAACTGTAAGATTGTAACATATGCCGATGACACCGTTCTACTAATTCATGGCGTGAATTGGCAGGACGTCCGCAATGCTGCGCATAGTGCTTTAAGCAAAGTTATGGATTGGCTCTCCGATAATCTTCTTACTCTGAATCTGGAGAAAACCAAATACATAACTTTTTCACCCTCAACTGTGTCACTTCCTCCAACTGATTTCACACTTTATGCTCACAGGTGTCATCAAAACCCTGACTGCAATTGTGTCCAAATTACACGTACTTGTTCTATAAAGTATCTTGGAGTTGTATTAGACGCAACCTTATCGTGGAATCCGCATTTAAATTACTTAATCCCAAGAGTAAGGAAGCTTATTTTTATTTTTAGAAATTTAAGAACATCGGCTGATTTCACAACCCTCAAGATGGTTTATTATGCACTTGCACAATCAATGTTAAATTATTGTATAGCAGCATGGGGCGGCGCAAATAAAACGATATTTGTTCGCATAGAAAGAGCACAAAGAGCAATTTTAAAAGTAATGACGTTTAAACCTTTGCGATTTCCTACTACTGACCTCTACTCTCTATGTAATGTCCTGACTGTCAGACAAATGTTTTTGTTAAAAATAATACTGCGCAAACATTGTTTTACTCCCTTCGATGCAAATATCATGAGGTTACGTAGATTTGACAGAGTTTGCAATACGGTGCCCTGTAGGATTGCATTGGCAAGACGTCAATATTATTTCATAAGTCCTACGGTGTATAATATTGTGAACAAGCAACTTAATATATATCCGATGACCTTAAGGGAATGCAAAATTAAATTAAGTAAATGGCTTCAAAATTTGACATACAATGAGACTGAGAACATAATGAAGAACTAAACCATGAATCATAGACAATTTGTTTTGGAAGGAAACCATTGAAAATTTGTTACTGTTGAGTTGCACATTTAAGTAGGTATATTTAAATTTATTTTAATAATGATTATTTTTGTGTAATTTTTGCTTATTATTATTATTTTTCTCTGGAGGTGGGCGTTAGCGGCTGCAACACAGTTTTATACTTCAGCAGCTTCTAATGTACACATGTTTTATGTAATGTGTCTTTTCGTTAATAAAGATTTATTATTATTATTATAATAAATCTGCATACGTATTACTTGAACGGCCCCTAATTGGTGTGTGTTCAAAAACGAGTGATACTTACAGTAGTCGCGTATGATGTGTAACATTTGAAACCTCACCTTATATTAGTAAAAAAAGAAATAAACCTACTACAAAAGGAATAAGTCATTTGAAAATTATGTTCTAAAATCAAATCAAATAGCGCGCGCTTCCCAAACTTCCTGGTACACACTTCCGTCCCACTTCATGTAAACACTCTCACAAATTGCACGAAAGCTAGAGGAAAGATGTTACACATCAAAAATATTGAGTTGTTAATTGTATGCAGGAAGAAGAGGTGGAAGCTTCGGATGGCGAGGCTGTGGACGCGGGCGACGAAACTGACAAAGAGCCGGACACTGCCTCTGACGCGGCACCGCCACGCGCTCGTCCATACGTACATCTCGCTTGTGTTCATTGCAAGGAGAAATCCGCTACGTTTGCTGTGAGATCATCTCATTATACACATAGCCCCCTTTTTTTCGTGTCTGGAAAATGCCTTACGCATCCATCAACCACCAGAGGAGCGAGAAGGTAGTCGGGACTCCCCTCCTGGGAATTTAGAGTTTGGTAACTTATGTGCTTACCTTTTAATTGATACTCTAGATCTTAACCAGATTAAAAAAAAAAACTAAACTGTGTAGTAACATGAAAGTTAATTAGATAAATAGTATAGTTTTTTCTATAAGCTCATAGTACCATAGTATAGGCCATTTAATAAGTGATGAATTATAAAATTACATGTTGCATTCTTTTCCATACAATAACTCATAAACATGACACAAAAAGCAAGTTAATTGGGGATATGGGTTGCATGTCCACGGTCATGTGGGCGGGGCGAAAATACTGCGATCAATACTTAGTTCTGCCATTAGTATAGGCCATAAAATATGTGATTAATTATAGAACTAAATGTTGCATACTTTTCCATACAATAACTCACATCATTACCCATATAAACAAGTTTTAGTCGATGTTAACAGTGCTTGTGGGTATAAAAAAATGTTGTTTAGGGTTACGCGAAGCACCTGGTGTCGAGCAAGCACCGCGCGGCGATGAGCGCCGTAGCGCGTCGTCACAAGGCGCAGCTATTGCGGATGCGCGTCGCCCAGCGAGGGGCGCAGCGGGAACTCGAGGCAGCGGCCGGCGCGGAGCTAGCGGCGCGGACCACCTTCTGTCTCGTGTGCCGGCTCAATCACCGCACCACGCGTCACGCGCACAACCTCACTGACACACACCGCGCCATGAAGCGCTTCCTGATGCCCTTCTGCCGCGTGTGCCGCGCCACCTTCCGCTCGCCCATGATATACGAGCACCACATCTGCTCGCTGGACCACCTCAAGGTGATTGTTGTAAGGTTATCTTAACCACCGCACCACGCGTCACGCGCACAACCTCAGTGACACACACCGCGCCATGCTTCCTGATGCCCTTCTGCCGCGTGTGCCGTGCCACCTTCCGCTCGCCCATGATATACGAGCACCACATCATATGGTTATGAAAAAAAAAACTGCTTGCTGGACCACTTCAAGGTGATTGTTGTAAGGTCACCTCGACCAAATAGACCAGGGTCGATAATTTTAAAAATGGTGAAAAGTGAAAAAAAATTATAGTAGGATGAAACCCATTGGAAAAGGTAGAGAATATAACAAAAGTTAAAGGAAAAATAAATTACGGGCGATCTGAGGTCGGGAACGGGGAGTGGGTGAGTGTTTAAGGGTAAAAACCGGTTAAACTCGATTTCCGGGAAAACTGAGTCCTATGAAAAAAAGTTAAATGGCAAAGTTGTAGGTAATAAAAAGATGTACAACTTTTGTATCGACACTTTTTTCACATAACCTCAAAATTTATGTGAAAAGTTCGAATAACCGAGTTTTTGGATTTTTATTTTATGCAAAAAAATTTTTTTTTAACGAAATTTAGTGAACTTACCTTTGTATGTCCCAAACATACAGCATTTTTTTTTTTATTGAAAATATTAATTTTTTCACCTTATTTTGACTTAATATCGAAAAAGCACCCTTATTTTCAATCGAAAATTCTCACGTCAAAATATCTGCTTTTTTAAAAAAGGTGGTGTGTTTTTTGTTTGTTGAAATCTCTACTCTTTGATGGTATAAAAAACAATATACACTACTATGGTAAATATTCTCAGAAACTGCAAATTAATAATGATAATAACTCGAATCCGAAAAATTGATTTGAATCATTATGTATAATTTTGAACTAACTAAGGTAACAAAATAAGGTGAAAAAATGAATATTTTAAATCAAAAAAGTTACTGTATGTTTGGGACATACAAAGGTAAGTTTTCACTAAGTTTCGTGAAAAATTTTTTTTTTTGCAAAAAATAAAAATCAAATCTAAAAAACTCACATAGATTTTGAGGTTATGTGAAAAAAGTGTCGATACAAAAGTTGTACATCTTTTTATTACCTACAACTTTGCCATTTAACTTTTTTTCATAGGACTTGCAGTTTTACCGGAAATCGAGATTAACCTGTTTTTACCCTTAAAAACTCACCCCCTCCCCCTTCCCGACCTCAGATCGCCCGTAATTTATTTTTCCTTTCATTTTTGTTATATTCTCTACCTTTTCCAATGGGTTTCATCCTACTATAATTTTTTTTGGTCTCAAACATTATCGACCCTGGTCTAAAAACCAAATCTAACCAGTAAAGATATATGTGACTGATTCCTATTTTAATGAATGAATCCAGTCAGATTTTATTATAGGTATTGTGTATCAGCAATATTCATAAACACTATTATTGTTACTATTAATGATTACAGAGGAAGGCTAGTCAGTCGATGCGTCGCGCGAGTCCAAAAGCGGACGGCAGCGGTGATGAGGGAATGGATGTCGATCTGGACAACTTCATGACTCTTGATTCAGTAGGCGATGTTGATGGTAAGACATAAAAAATATTATAATCTCTCCGGGGGGGCCTACAACCTATTGGAATTGCTATGGCTGTAGCTTGAATTCATATTCATTTTGTTATTTATAACCTTCGAAGGTTTTCAAATGCCTTGCGCTCTTATTTTTCTTTTGCATTGCTAATAACAATATTAAGGCAAATGAGCGTGAGCTACGGCCTCCGCAATCCCGATAAGCGGTAGGGCTTTGACATAATTATTTCCTATGGGCCTCGATACACTAGACTCTAAATTTAAAATATTTGTCGTATTACAGAGGTGGAAGATGATGACTCTGGGGGTGAAAAGAAGGAAGAATCTGCACCAAAGAAGCCGAAGGTGGAGATAAATATTGGGAGTGAACACATTAAGAAGATGGAGGTATAATTGTACCATTACCTAACATTTTTATTAATACACTTTAAATTATGTATTTGCAAAAGTTTTATGTTTTAGAAAGTTGTTATTTAGAGTCATTAGGTGAGCTTAACTATCAGGCCGACATTGGTGTCGATTCTGAGACATGCTTCTCTAAAGTCAAACTAAATTTAACATCAGTCTCTCCTTTTCTTTTTGTATGTACAAAATGACAGGAATACACTGTTGTCAAATTTAAGTTTAGGTTTAGATAATATGCCGGAATCGACACCATTACAAAGCTACATAATTCATTTGAATGTTCAACCTAATAATAATGTCATATACAAAATAATTTGAGAGTAATGTATAGAAATATACGCGTGCGCCAGACAATAATTTCGCCGAAAGGGCATTGGACTGTTAATCACAAGGGGTATTGGACATTGGCCTGTTAATCACATACTGAAATGAATTTAAAAAGTAACGTATGGTAATCCTTTGGTAGTGAGTATGTCACGTTTTGTAAGTGTGGCGGTGAGAGTCGAGTTGCGTAAGGCTCAGTCAAGCCACTATAGTGCGATAAGGATCTTTAGGGATGTGGCGGAAATTGGAACTAACGCCGCCGTCTTTGTAAACTTCATATTTTATATCTCCTTTACGTAGACAGTGGCGCCCTCCTTAAACTGTCACTCGCATTTATAAAGATTCTTGTCGCACTGTAGACGCAGCCACCAATCGGACTGCTAGTAGCTACTAGTGGCCGCCACTAACGGCTTCGATTGGTGGCTTGACACAGCCACTAGTAGTAGATATTTGTAGTCTTTGTTAGTATATTATTAAAAAACCGCTACTTCTACAGAATTTCCAACTATTTACTATATTGTTTCCTAATATTACAGCTGTCAACTATCATTTATCACATTCATGTAAATCAATTTTAGCGCGTGGGTCAAACCCCTATAGAACTTCTGGCATTGTCTTTTAAAACGAATGTGTGGTTAATTTGCGTCTCGTTCTATAGGTGTGGTGGTGCGAGCTGTGCCGCGTTTACTTGCCGCGCGCGGAGTCCGGCGGCGCGGAGGAGGCCGAGGCGCTGCGCCGGCACTGCCGTCTGCGCATACACCTGGGACGATACGTGCAGCACCGCGACACCCGCACGCTGCGCAAGCACGCCGAGCGGATCCACCGCCAGCTGCATCGCCAGCAAGGTGACGGCAAGGGGCATCATCTTTATATATATAATTCTTCTGTGAGTGTGTATGTCACTGAACTTCTCTTAAACGACTGGACCGATTTTGATGAAATTTTTTGTGTGTGTTCAAGGGGATCTGAGAATGGTTTAGATACACAATTTTGTCCGCTGGACAACCCCTATTTTTTTAGGGCGGTACGAAGTTCGCTGGGTCAGCTAGTATACGTATAAGAATAGAGTAGGGGAGATATAGGGTGTATTCCGAAATGTACATCACTATACTGACCAGTGGTAATGACGTCACGAATCCGACGCCATATTGTACAGGTATGCTACCATATTTTTACCGGGAAAAGAAGTATGACGTATTACCGAGTGTGCGTGAGATGCATTCGAATTTTATTTCTTTTTTCATTTAAAGAACAATAATGGCATCCGAACAAAAAGAATCCCTTTTATTTGATGAGGTGAATAAAAAAATCTTCTTTATTCGCACTATTTTGGATATTTCGTCGATTTATGACGTCAGTGCACTGGCCAATATATTTCGGAACAATTCACCAGCATAGCATCGATCCATGACGTCATTAGCACTGGCCAGTATATTGGAATATATTACGGAATACACCCATAGACTTTACTACAAGTGGAAGTGTCCCTCTAATAGAAAGAGAAAGAAGATGAGAGACAGCTAGCTTTCTCTCTCTAATCGCGCATGCGCATTGCCAACCGTAAGCATCTTACTATTTCGATGTGATGTCATTGGATGCCATGCGTGACAAGAGAGAGAGATAGCTAGCGGTCTCTCATCTTCTTTCTCTTTCTACTAGACGAACACTGTTAGAACCGCCTTCCCCACTCTATTCTTATACCTCTATGCGGGTCATACACATGTCCCCGTAGCATGAGCACCACAATTTTATCGCGCAAACTGTCAAACTCTATAGTAATTTGACAATTGAACGTGATAAAATCGCGTTATATGGCGAGTGGCTGCCTATTCGCTTTCGCCGGAATACTCATATCCTTATTCTTCTCTTTAACGTACTGTTTAATCCTTTGACCCCGCGCTATCTTAAGGAATGTTTTAACTTCCTTCACACCTCTAACACATTGTCCCTAAGGTCATCAGAAAATTTTGCTCTTATTACACCTGTGCACGGAACAACTTTTTATGGCCGCTCATTCGCAGTGCAATCTGTTCGCCTATGGAATTCGCTTCCAGTTTTCATTAGACGTGCAGAATCTCTGCACAGATTCAAAAACCTTCTAAGATCTCACTATCTGTCCTTATAGCTCCTCTATTGTATTTATTTCCTCTCACCGAATTAGACTAATATATGGTACATATGTATTTTTTAGTATGTATATATATATATGTATGTATTTACCTATGTATGTATGAGTGTATGTATGTATATCTATGTATTTATATGTGTTTATTTGTTTTATATACTTGGTTTGTACATAGATTTTCTCGCGTATTATTGAAGTTAATTACACCGCCGTCTTTCCAGCTTCTTTCTTGTCCTCTCCATCCCAAGGTTGTCTGGAAGAGATCGCTCTTAGCGATAAGACCGCCCATTTTTACACTGTAAGCAGCCATTATGTATGTTTTATATATATTTTTTTTTATTTTGTGGTGTAAAATAAAGAGTTTTTATTATTATTATTATATATCATATTGCGGTGCTCATGCTAGGGGGCTGGGACGATACGTGCAGCACCGCGACACCCACACGCTACGCAATACACGCCGAGCGGATCCACCGCCAAGCAAGGTGATGGGGCGGGGCATACATCTGTACCCGTAGCATGAGCAACCACGATAAACATATTTCACCTTTCTTTTTGGTGTGGATCTGTCAAACTCCATAGTACTACATGACAATTGAGCGCGATAAAAACGTGATATACATTATATATCGGTGCCGCTACATGCAACATCGCGACACTACAGCAACATCTTGAGCATAAACTATGCACAACAAAGTAGCAATATTACAACATCTACAGAAAGTTTTACTAGAAAAAAACTTCATTTTTCAATCTAGCGGTTTTAATGTTTTGCATACAACAAAAATGTCAACTGCGAAGTTTGGGTGTATGGTTATGTTCAAGACGAGTGCGCTATAGTTAGCGTTATAAAGGAGACGGGAACCGTGTAGGGGGCGGGGGAACATCAGCAGAAAGGTACAATGCAATTTAAACTTTATGCCGGTTGAGAAGTTACCAGTGAGTGTGAGCGCTGCTAACTTCACAAAAAACATAAATACAGTGCGACGAATATCTTCTGGGACTTGATAACATTGACAGGAGGGCTGCTGGTGAAATGAGGATTAATAAATACGTAAAATCTCCCTACTTGTAGGAAACTTTACATTTTGCAATAATAGGAAATATCAAAGGCTTATTTTATTTACACTTTTCTATGTAAATATAAGGCTTATTTATAACATCCTAAAATAAAACCATGTTCTCTATGCCTGTATTGGTGGGACTCGGATATTTTAATTATTTGCATACAATAATTTTGATCTGTTTCTCGCAGAAGATGAAAAGGAAGCGGTAACTGCTGAGGAAAGTGCAGACAAAGCCAAAGTAGATAAAACTGAAACTGCTGAGGAAACCAAAAAAAATGAAAATGCTTCTGAAGCTGTCAATGTTTCTGGTAAGTGCTTTTATAAAACTCATATAGTACATAGCATAGTATAAAATGTAGGTTTCATTATTGTAAATTATTTTCAGGAAGTGAAGATAAACTATGGGCAGATGTAGACAAAGACATTGGTGAGCTTTTGCGTGAAGTGGACCCCCAAGACAACGAGGGTAGCGATGACGATGATGATCTTGATAGGTAACAAGTTTGTTTCATTGTTTCTTAATGTATAAAATGTAAAAAATATAATTCACTCTCTTGGAATCACTGGATTGTTTCGTCTATTTTGTTCAAATAGAGTATTTCACATTTACTTGGCTCCTTATACCATAATAGTAAGAAGACATCGAAGGTAATTGACAAACACGTCATAATAAGCGGACGTCATACAAAGCGTTCTGTGAAAAATAAATGTAAATATATATTTTATAGAGAAACATAGTACATATTATATTAATTCAAAATAAAAATTGCACGTAATAAGTACATACGAAACCTATGTACTATATTTTTCATTTTTTAATGTAGGTAAAATCTGTATGTCTCTTTTTTTTTCATTTTATTGTAATAATAGTCTATGGTTGGCGGCGGCGTTGAGATATATCACAGGATATATCTGAAAACAATGTGTCAATTACTCACTGAGATTCAAAACAAAAACGAGCCACGTGCCGAACGTCGTCAGGAATCAACGAACATTACCGAAGGTGTAAAGAATCATGTTGGTCATTTTAACCGGACATTAAATCAGATTGATAGTTTATCAAAAATAGGTCATAATAAGCGACATGTCACTGTAAGGGAAGTCATTATATCCGACTTTTTTACAAATAATTTTATATGAAACCAAACTGCGTTCTGTGATTACGTCATAATAATCGGTTGGTCAATATAGGCGGAGTAATAATAAACGGATTCTACTGTAGTGGCAACATGTGACTGGTCTTATATGAGCCTCCACTGCCTAAGTCGATGGGAATAGTTGCTTTTGTATGCAAAATTAACAAAGTCAAAATTTCGCAGATATGAAAAGTTTCGGAAGAGTGACAAGAAAACAAAGGACGAGGGGACAGAAGAAGCCGAACCTGTGGTGACTGAGAATTCCAATGAAAAAAACAATATTGAAGTCAAAGCTTCTGCTTAATTTACTTCTTTACATTATATAAGAATTAGGAGTCGGTAGTATGCTGATATGCTGTGTATATTTTAGAAAGCACCAGTCATACTATTTAAGTTTTAAGCGGTAATATTTACAGAATACTTTTAAACTCTTTATTTGCAATATTGAACTATGTGAAAGTGTTTTTATGTGACATCAATAAAATGAATTATAGATAAATTTGTATTATTTAAATACGTAGTACTATCAGTGGTTCCTCACCCACCATGAGTTTTACAAGCATCCCAACGATATGAAATACTCTATTAGGTACACCACGTGTGCTCGAAATATGTCCCATTCAAGAAGTGTTTGAACTCCACTCGAGCACTTTTTTGTTCACAGTCACGCGCAGACCGTTGAAGTAACGATGCCACAGAGCTCCGTAAAAAATGCAAAAAAAATATTGTAGTACTTTGTTTTGAGTTTTCGACAAGTATCAAAGCGATGTTTGTTAATTTATCGCATTTGAAGCAAATTTAGTTGTAATTATTTTATAAACTGATTTAATAGAAAATATTTGTGATATTAAATTACATGATCGGTTATATAACCATCTCCTTTCCCTGTGGTCCGTACCTGCTATATTGCTAACACCTCTGTTCCCAGGAGTCTTACCAGTTGAACTACTGGGATTTTTTTCCCAATAGACACTAGTACGACCACTGGGAATTTTCCCCTGGCAGCTTCCCCCCCCCCTAGAAGATAAAATAAACGTCAATTTTCCTGGCAAGTGGGAATTAAAAACGTGTTACCTACTCTGCGCAAAATGAAGTGTTGGAAACAAAACATCTTTTCAGTCAGATATTTTGATTTTTTTTTTTTATCTATAATTAAATATTCTACAACATTCGATATAATAGCGACGCAATATAATTTATATCTCCCGCGAAACCGTCGTATCTCGTAGTTTCCGCTCCCGACGAGATAATCAGAGCTATCTAGGATTAAAGCCGAATATAATTTGGAGAAAACAACGTCTAGCGCTAGCGCTATCTAGTTACGGACGACGACACTCGACAGTGCTTTTTCCAGTAAAGAAGAACGTTCTAGCATGGACTATTCTGGAAAGTAAAGACAGTGATAGCAAGTATGAGACAAGGATGGCAACAGTCGAGTATTTGCTACGTATTTATAAGCGCGATCGTGAGGCAGAGCAAGGCAATTCAGTTCGAAATTTCGAATACAATTCAATTTAGTTCGGAGTTTAATACGAGCGAATATTTAATGCGCCATAATGGTGTCTTATACTTTAGTTGCGGTGACACGAGATTTACGTTTACTGCGCAACAATTGGAAAGATTTACTCCGTCAAATGGATATCAGGAATTTCTTTGAAAAAGGTGAGTCAAAACAAAACACATATGTATGTACCTAATATGATTATTTGATTTGTTTAAGGGTATAGGAAGTAATTGATATTTGAATGTGATGTTTTTATAGGTATCTTAATCGTTATTTATTATCACGTTTTTATTAGGTCCGTTTCTTGTCTGTTCGGTACAAATCTGACAACTGATTTTAAACTAACTTCCCGATCTCCGGATGAGCTAGAGACTTGAAATTTTGACTGTAGGCCAGAAGTGTATGACAATACAATATTAGATTGTTTTCTTGTCTATTTGTCTGTTCGGTACAAATCTTTCAATTGATTTTAAACTAACTTCCCGATGAGCTAGAGACTTGAAATTTTGACTATGGTCAGAAGTGGATGACAATACAATATTAGATTGTTTTCTTGTCTGTCTGTTTGTTTGAAAGTTTAAAAAAAATACACATTTTTTATGACTAAAAAGCAGTTTTTTTTAATATACTTACCATGTTTTTAAAACGGACTAAAAAGTATAACGAAAAACGTGGGGTGCATGAAAAAAAAAAGATAGGTAATGATAAAAAGTGTAAAAAGTACCAGTCGTTGAGAAATCTCATGTTAGAAGAGCTTTCTCATTGACTGCTACTTTTTATGCTTAATTATAATTTAAAATGCTTAGATCAATTTATACGACATTAGAAAATATTATTTTATAAGTACTGTTTAGTCCGCTTTAAAAACGTGGTACATAATTTTTTTTTTTCAGTCTTTGCCTAAACACCGTAAGAGTAGTTATGTTTGTGTATCCTTTTTTTAGGGACAACACGGGAAAAAAGAAAAAAAGGTCGGGATAGTAGCAGTGGAGGAAGCGATGAAAATGACAACAATGATAAAACCCATGTAATGCCAAGATCATTGCATGCTAACATTGGACAAGCGTCACATTCTCCAGCAGAACCTGTAAATATATCTGTTGCCGATTATTCTTCAGCAATTGCCGAAGCAATTGACAATTTCTTGATTAGTTCTAACCTCCCAACAGAAGATTGCGTAGGGTTTAGATTCGATGGTTGTTCTACAATGGCAGGGAAAGAGGGTGGCGTACAAGCCATTTTGAGAAAAAAATATCCTGCTTTATATTTTTATTGCTCAAGTCACAAACTCAACCTTGTTGTGAATGATGCGAACGCAGTGCCAGAAATTAGAAATACTGTCGCCACTGTTAAGGATGTTATAACGTTTTTCAGAGAATCGACTACTCGTCGAAACTACGCCAAAACCTATCACGATTGTGTGAGACGAGATGGTCCGAAAAATATAAATCAATCAGAAAGTTTTCTCAACATTTTCCAGAGCTTGTGAAATCTCTAGAAACGTTATCCGTAGAGGGAAATTATGCCACCAGAAAATCTGCATATCAGTTGCATTCAGCCGTTACAAAACCAGTGTTTATTGTTGCTCTACAAACAATAGCCAAATATTCAGCAGTTTTAGAACCAGTAGTTAACGCACTGCAAGCTAAATCGATCGACATGATCTCGGTGGGGGAACACATCAAAAATATCAAGGACATTCTCAGAAATGACCGCGAGTTTCCTGATAAAGTAAGTAATGAAATGCTTCAAAAAGCGCGAGCTGTTGCAATGGATTTGAACATAGAAATTTCGGTTCCACGTCTTGCTCATAAGCAAACACATAGAAGTAATCCGCCATCTGACAATGATAACGAATATTGGCGGCGTTCTCTGATAATACCATACATTGATTCACTCATTTCATCGTTGAATATTCGATTCTCCCACGAAAATACTCCGGCGTTTGCTTTAAGTAAGCTACATCCCTTGTTTATGACCAAAACCAGCATTACAGACTTACACAAGAACGCAGAATCATTCCAAGAATTTTATAACCTGGATATCACTGGAGAACTGAACCTGTGGCATAATTTATGGATGAAGAATGCTTTATCAGATGATCAATTAAGGGATATAGAAGTAGTTGATCTGTTCAATGAAGCCAATATTTTTTACCCTGCTGTTAGAAAGGCATTGATTATTTTAAGCACTATCCCATGCACCACGGCGACCGTAGAACGGTCCTTCAGTACGCTTCGAAGAGTTAAAACGTGGCGTAGAAGCACCATGGGTGAAGAAAGGCTTACGGGTTTATGTCTGATGAGCGTACATCGCAATTATTTAAAAGAAAACAGTGAGTTTATTCAAAAGGCTGTCTTAGACAAATTTTCGGCGGCAAATCCGAGAAGATTACTTTTAAATTAATATATGTGTATTATGATTATTATATATATTTAATATTTTGTTTTGTGTCATAATCAAACTAATTAATAAAAGTCAATTTTCATGATTTTTTGTTTCAATATACCCGACCGACCATCTTCTAGAAACAGGTATGAGCTGCCCCCTCCTAGCTTAAATCCTGGGTACGCTCTTGGCGAGTAGTACTTTACAGGTATTCAGAACCGTCTGTCTGGCAACACTATTTTTGTAAGTAATAAAATTTCTATGTTTGTCATTATTTTTTGTCATCATTTGATTATCAACAATAAAACTCGTTTATTCATACGTTATTTTATAAGTTGGCTCACTTAATTTAACGGTTTTTTACTGCGAAGTAAAATAGGCCTCGCGAACTTGATGTCGCCGACGTCCACATGTAGTCTAGCGCCGCCACTGACTGGGTGCATGGATTTGTAATAAGTGGCATTAACCATACACTCAGTCGTACATGTCCAAACTTGTAACATTCTTTCTATTGCAACACTAAGGCCGTATACAGAAAGAAAGCCGAAAGCCGATCGGCGCTTATCGGCGCCGATCCTTCCTACATACAGGAAGCCGATTAAAGCAGATCAAGCAAAATGTCGGACTCATCGGACGATGATTTGGTTTTGTTAGAAAATATTTATTTAAAAATGCGAAAAACAGCTATACATCCTATAAATAGAGAAAGGAAACGTTTCGGAGAATACCATCATTTATTTGTAAAAAAATTTAAATTTGATGAACAAAGATTTTATACATATACAAGAATGATTCAAGAAACATTTTATTACATTTTGGATTTAGTGAAAAACCGTTTGATGAAAAATTGGGGCGATTGGCATAAACAACCAATCCTGCCGGTCCATAGAAAAAGGATCAGCGCCAATAGGCGCCGAAAAGCGCCGATTGGCGCTGATCGGCTTTCGGCTTTCTTTCTGTATACGGCCTATGGACACGCGCTGGTCCGATTAATAAATAATTTGTATTTGAATTATTATCTATTACATTTTTAATCTTTTAATGTAGGTACTATAACAAATTGCTAACTTTTATATATTTTCTCCTTTTTCGATTCGTTTTATAATTCTTATTATTATCTAAATAATAATAAGATTGCGTAGCGTAGTCAGTCTGTGCGTGCAATGCAGTGCAACGCTATTATTTTAATATTTCGCTACTGCCATGCCTTCGGTCGAGGCAGTCGGCGACTGTCCTCCCCACGTCCCGCGCGTCGCGGCGCGCAACGCCCCCGCGCACCTCCAGACACCCACACATAGCCGCGGGCGATTTTAGGAGCACACATGCTTAAGTGTCGCTTCTTTTCGCGTAGTGTATATATTCTGTGCCACTAGGCATCGGATGCCGGTACTTCACTTGGCTATTGGCAAACAAGGCTATGTATAAATAACTTTCTTGGCTATCGGTATTTGTAAATATATATAATTATTTGTGTGTGTATGTAATTTTGACACCAGGATGTTCATGTTAATGCTTTAGTGGGATTGGAAGTGCGCGCGGCCGGGAGACTGATGTTTTAAAGCGACACTGGTCTTTTAAGTAGATAGATATGTTAATAAAGTTTAAAAATATGTCACACCTTTTACAGTGTGTAATCATGTAAAGCTTTCATCTTTAATAATAAAAAAATGTGAGAGAAACCTATGGAGCCCTATGCTCGGTGTTTCCCTACGTGATAAGATCTGTAATACGGAGATCCGTAGAAGGACCGGTGTGTACGACATAACCCGAAGAGTTAGCACGCTGAAGTGGCAATGGGCAGGCCACATCGCTCGAGGATCTGACAACCGTTAGGTAAGAAAGGTCCTCGAGTGGCGACCACGTACCGGACGACGCAGCGTGGTGCGGCCCCCAACAAGGTGGACTCACGACATCGTCAAATGTGCTGGGAGCCGCTGGTTGCGGATAGCGCAGGACCGCGCATTGTGGAGTTCTATGGGGGAGGCCTATGTCCAGTAGTGGACGGAGAAAGGCTGATGGATGGATGGATGGAATTAAAAGAAAACACAGATTGTAAAAAGCACATTTTTATTTATACATAATTACGATGTAATTTTTGAAACATTTTTATCATTTTATTTAGTAGGGTAGGTCTTGTTTTGTACTAAACCACCACGTAATGTGCTTTGCAGTGAACTGAAACAAAAAAAAATATGTAAGTATTGGCATACAGCATTTCATTTCATACAGCAGGAATTTATCAAAAATCGGAAATGGTAGACTTTAGTAGTAGGCATTAACAATATTGGTCGACACCAATATTCTGGCATGATTCTCTAAACCTAAACTTGACAACAGCGTATCCTTGTCATTCTTAATACAAAATGAAATGGAGAGATTGATGTTAAATTTAGTTTAAGTGTAGAGGATCACGCACGCCAGTATCGACACCATAGGTATAAGTGTCCTATCTAGGCGACCCTAATACCTTACTATATTTTATGGGCTTGCTATAAGCGCTATACTTGTACTTTATACTCATGTTATAGATGTAACTTAAGGCAGATAACCGTGTGCGCGACAACGCTGTACGTACTATTAGTATTATTACAGTGTGCGTGTAAGATTTCGCAAGAAAGAACCCAAGAAAATAAATTATTCTGTTCTTTTATTTTCAATCATAGCTACGGTTATTCCAGTTCAAAAACCGATTTCAAATGTCAAGTATGTTTCGAATTTAATTATAATTTTAACACGCTATAAAAAAAAACGATTTGAATAATAAGCAACTAGTGGAATATAATTATACTACGGCGATTCCCACAATATAATTGCAATTGAGCGTGGTTAAATAATGCAAGATTTAGTAAATGAATTAAGCTATGGGGATGGCACTGAAATGATATAATATTGTTTATTTTCATGATTAATAAATCGTTGGTATATCGATATGGGACGCATCCCTTGCCTAGAAACATTTCAACAACAGTATGTTGTGAAAAGTAATAAACCCAGTTCATATTTTCACGGTATTTGTTTATTATTACAATATTTAGGAAAGCCAAATTAAAGTACCAAAAGTTAATAAATTATTACAAAATCTCATTAGATTTATTATTTTACCTAGTATATTGCCTTTGACAATATACAACAGAATGAACTCATCATTATTAACGAGGACACATCTGACGATGAGTCCAGTTTGTATGAAGAATCTAATATGTCTAAATAAATTAAAAATAAACTAAGAAGACATTTATATAATGAAACTTATATAATGTTAATATTTTAATTACTTGGTTTCAACCATACAATTTATTTCTACCGATTAAGTAAGTAAGTGGGCGGTACATGTCCATGAAGTACAATATTATTTGTATGTCATTTTAACGTAAACAATACAAAATTTCACGAGCGTCGATCTGTCAAAAAGATAATAATAGAATGGACAGACTTTAGTAGCGTTATAATAAAGGATCAGTAAATAGTTCGGTGATGAAATCCCATCTGTCAAAAACTGTTAGCGAAAAGGCCTATTGAAAGTGTAAAATTTTATCAATCAGTTTAATTTTATCATGTGATTATAAACCCTATATTAAGCACTATTAAAGCTCAACCTTTTGTTGACTGTACTTGGTATTTTTGTGACAAGTTCTCAGAAGATAGAAACTGTGGTATATTAATATTGTACCTCTATTATATAATAGAGGTATATTAATATGCCAAAAATTCAAACCAAAATAACTAAAAAATAAACATATTTAAAAGCAATAACAGCTCATTGCCTATTTACCTATGAACTCTGACACTGGGTCGTTTTCGCCCTCTGCTCTCATGGTTCCTGTGATTTCTTCATTTTCTACCATGGGTAGAACCAGTTGCACGAATTCAGGGGTGTAAGGAGGTGCTATTGCATCGAGTACCTGTAAGATATTATTTTCGAGAATAATAATTAATATATAAAATTTTAAGTACAGCAGATTTTATAAAACACACATATTATTGTTTTATTTTTAAAATACAAGAACTCAGTTCCTATAACCTTAAACATCAAAATTTGTTTCAAAATGGATTGTATAGAAAGGTTAATTACATATTAAATGCGCTTGAGCAACGCACACATAGACACTGCTCGCTCACGGACACGATATCTCAGAACAATTGGGACCACTGCGAGCGTGAGTTCCACCCACTCGACATACGCGTCTAAACTTCTTTGTACCAAAATGGAGAACAAAAATAGTTATGCCTACATCAGCCGGCCTATTCGCTAACTAAAGAGAAAATTGCATATCCATCGATGCTTTTTAGAACAAGTATCTCAGTTGCGTTATAATATAACAGTAGTGGATCACTAAACAGCTCGGTGTTTATCACTTCCATCTGTTAAAATTTGTTATAAGTAAACCGCTTAACTGAGACCTCGCCTGCGGGGTACAGGGTGTGGGGGAGGACGAAAACGGGAACCTTTTTCGGGACCTTTTTTTTTGTGACGCAGGCAAAACCTCGGTTTACAGACGACGGCGCCTTTAAGAGGCACACCGCCACCGAACGGACCTCACAGCTGGCTCCCGCAAGCCTTACAGGAGCTGTAAAAAACTGTATGACATACCTACAGTGAGCTTTTGGTGTGGTTTTTTTATTTATGAATTTAGTAATTTTATCCCTGTTTTAGGCGGTTTTCGTTGAAAATGAGTTGAAATTAAAATTCAGCGGGCCCAAAACCTCCCGACTGTAAAAAGAAAGTAGTTTTACCAGATGCGTAATTATACCGTTTTGTTCGCCAGCTCCTCATATTATAAATCACAAATAACATTTATAGTGGTTCTTAGGCATATAAAATCAAAATGATCTAAAATGAGATATTTCTACAAAATAAATACCTCTGTGATAAAGTATCTTATTAAAGAGATGTCGGTATCGCCACGTTGCCAACATTGTTTGATGTAGCGTAATACAGGAACAACACAACCGCGACTGAGCAAGTTTACCATGCGGTCAAGAAGCATTTTTTTCAACTCCAACTGGAAAATTAAGTATCTAATTTAGCAATTAATTACTAATATTTGACGACCTCTGGCCGAGTGGTATGTACACTGGGTTTGAAGGTGTCGCACTCGAGAGGTCCCGGGTTCGAATCTCGGTGGGGGACAGATGTTTGAGTGATGAATACGAGCATTTGTACTCCAGTCATGGATGTTTAATATGTATTTCTATATGAATATAATATTATACATGTATTCCATCCGTTACCCTAGTATCCCATAAAACGAGCCTAGTGCTTATTTTGGGGTTAGGCCAACGATATTAAATACCCTACATACAAGACGTGCGCTCAAAATTTGTTCCTATCAAGAAGTGCTTCTTGCACTCGAGCACTTCTTGGTTCACGGTCACGCGCGGACCGTTGAAAAGTCAACATGCCGCTGAGCTCCGTGAAAAAATGCGAAATAATAATAATAATAACTTTATTTGGAACAAGTGCAATGTACATAAAATTATGAATCGTTAAAACTGCTTTAGTTTTACGAAATATAAATTATATAATAAATACTTATAGTATGTAAAATGTTGTTTTTTTACAGGTATCTAACAATGTTTGTTAATTTAACGCAATTGAAGCAAATTTTGTTTTAATACTTACTATGAACTGATTTAATAGAAAATATTTGTGATATTCAAATGCATGGTCGGCAATATAGCCTCTTTCCTCGCGGTCCGAATGGGCCGTTATAATAGCGCATTCAAAATTGCGCGTAGGGTCAAAGAAATAAGATCTATATTCTTCCGCATATAGCAATAAGTCGTAAAATTTTCCGAGCTTACATCTCGGACTGTCATAACTCCTTGCCGCATGCGTTTTAATTAAGACCCTATACAGTGTGCTTTAAAAGTGATTTTTAATGTTTAAATAATGTTTAGACTACGCGATCATCTTATGGAGCTCCTCGGATCGTCCAATGTACCTTTTGGACAGGTTTCGGGCATGAATATGTTCGTGTTGGTGTTTCTAGGGTATTTAATATCGTTGGGTTAGGCTAATTGGTGTGAGTGTTCGAACTATTTCTTTATTTATTTATAATTACATAAACATCATATAAAAAAATGTTACTAAACCTGAACTAGTATCTCCAATTCATCTTGTGGTGATTCAAAAAGTTGAACTAGTAACCGCAATAATCTATGGTGTAGTAAATGATGACAAGATGCAACTTCATCCAATAGGGCCAAATGAACAGGACAATGCTCTGTGCACAGTTTGAAATATGATGGCTCCGTAACAACACACTCTACCCATACAAGCACTCCCATACCAACTACGGGGAATCTAAAACAACAAACCAACTAATAATGAAAATGCAAAAAGCATTAGTTCCTTGTCAGACAAATAACTGCTACGCGCAAAAAATATAACCTTTTTTTTATAGTTGGGTAGGCAAATGACTCTACCCAACCTGATGTTAAGTTGTGATAAAGTCCAGACGCGAAGATAGCTGGCACAGCAGTAAGAAACTGCCACACACACCATTCTCACCTTGCCGGCCTGCAGAAATGCTTCTTCACGCCTCTCATAAAGGACCCCAGATGTTAGGAAGTGGGGAACAAATGCGCGCGTATGGAATTCCATTTGCGATTAGTACAATCAAATAAATAAAATGAGTCATAAAAATTCTTTGTTTGTGTAGGAATAGTGGCCACAGTAAGTCGGTGACAACGTAGGCCAGTGCGCGTGGTCCTCTGAAGAAAAGGTGAAGGAGGGATAAGGGAGAATAACTTCTCAGAACACTCGCTGTGGTAAAGTCGGCAGAATGGGCTCAATGATGCCACATCGCGGCGTTATTGTAGAGACTTGTGTTTGTTAGTTACCTCTTTATGGCCAATGATGCGGGCAGCGCTCCACTGCAACCTGTCCAAGGCATCGAGTGAGTACTTAGCGGAACCATCCCAGAGGTGGGGAACCATCTAAGAGGTGCGAGCAATATTCCACGCAGGGCCGCACTTGCGTTTTGAACAACAAGCACAGTTGATCAGGCGTGAAAAAACGCCGCTCCTTGTTCAGGACTCCGAGTTTGGTGAGTATTTTTTGATCATGGTTTCGATATAGTCATTTGGATTCAAGTCAGCGAGGCACAGAACTGAGCAGGCAGACCATATGCAGGAAGCTTGGAGAGAAGGCTTTTGTGCCAGACCCTGTCAACAGACTTGGCGATAGTCTGTTGACAGGGTCTGACAGACTCTGCCCTCTTGTCTAAAGCTTCACCCCAGATGTGTGTTACGTACGCTTGAAGGTCACCCGTCCATCTATTCAGCCTAAATCCGTATTGACGATCGTGGATCAGAGAGTAATCTTTTAGGTAGAGGGTCAGATGGTTTTTAAGGACCCTTTCTAAATACAAAACAAATACACAACACTGAGGGACAGCTATCGGCTGATAGTTGGCCGGGTCTGAGCGGTCCCATTTATTTCATTGAGCTACCATTCTCAGTTTGCGAGATTTTTAGGATTCTATACGTGACCCGGATTCATTGCTCTCGAGTGTAGCTATCGAAAAATCGGTTAGTATACTCATCATAATGAAAATATCGAATTCTCCAAAAAGTGCACATAGCAGATATTGGTTTGACAATGACCATGATTTGGTAATAGAACTTCATATTATTTAAATCCCAACCTTATACAATGGTACAGAGTTGGTAGTTCAGCAATCAGTTCACTTGAACTAGCAGAACTACCGCAAACAGCATGTACTTTTTCAATGGCTTGAACAGTTGCTTTCAGTTCATCTTTCACTGGTCTTCCTGGTGAAAGACCTTCACAGACACTAGCAGCATATGCCAGAAGATACATATACTTGGATTTGTGTTCTGGATTTAGTTTACTGCCCAACTTGAATAATGCATCAACAAGAAGTTCTGTAAAAAAATTGTTATAACTCATAACACTATAGATTAAATATTAAGACCATGTTCTAACTTAGGTATACATGCCTAAAAATTGTGGTATTCTCAATAGATGCACTGGAGGTGGTTCAGGTTGTGTGTAGGCTCTATATAAGACTGAGATGTCAGCCGGATTGAGGGCACCACGTGACAGCATTGCCGCTAAAGCTGTGCGAGCATTCCGCCAAGATTCACCCGCTGTCAAAGCTAAAGTTATTGGTGTAACATCGTGGCCACTGCAATTTCAGAAACTTTCATGAAAATCCTTGACCATTTATATATACATACCTACTAAAATAAAATAAATTGTTTTTTTTACACATATTGAAAGGGTTTTTTGTGACAATGTTCTGTTTAAGATTATTAAACGGAATAAATATAACAAATTGTCCAAGTCAACAAATTACAAAAGTCAGGAAGTAACGAGGAAGAATACCCTTGTTGAGCGCATCTTGTTATTTCTTGTCCCAGTCTCTTCATTATTGCACCTCCTCTTGGCTCTTGAGACAGTATGTGCACAATCACTTGGCTATAAACATATGTATGAGCTCCATGGCAAACCATTTTCTGTAAAAGAAATAAGTTTTGAAAAGAAGTTGTTACAAATTTGCCTTATGATAGATATATTTTATTTCAAATATTCTTACAGCACATTCATTGACACTATTTTGCCAGTCATCAGAACTCTGCAAGAACCCCACTATGGCAGACTTCAAAACTCTTGAAAATACTTCAATTTGCTGTGCAGCCGTTGATATGCTTGTGATTTCACCTTGGAAGCCAGCATCAGAAATTAACTACAAATCATACAATAAAAAAAAGATTTCCGATTAAATATTTGAGTTTGTCGTGAATATTGAAATTGAGAGTTTTTTTATAACCTTTATTGTGAAGTTGAGCATTAGACAATCAGGATATTCTTCTGCCAGTCTATATATCAATGATCGCCAAGTAGGATGCTCAATCATTTCAGGCAGCCATGCTGGAGTCTGTAAGTACAATGTTAAAATCAGTTGATTTCCTATTACTCCAATATACCTTTTAGAATATGGTACAGGCAATGTGGTAATATATTAATGGTGAAGTGCCAATATTTCATATCTTAAATATAATATGATAGTGATTTTTTATATCTAGGACTATTAGGTCTATTTCACATGTTTTTTTTAGCTGTAAGAAATAGATTGTACCTATTATGGCAATTTCTCATTTTTATGTAAAAAACTCTTATGAAAAATTACAAAACAACAGACAATTTTTTACGGACTTAACTGATATTTATAATTTAAGAATTATTCTGTATATGGTCATTGTCAAATCAATATTTGCTATGTGCAAAAAAGATATAGCAGTTAATATTTGACAATATTCTAGCTGATGCACAAAGCATATTTTTTTAAGCCACCTCTGTTCACCGTTATAATGCTAAGATTTTCATAATAGTCTTGGTTTTCGAAATGTCAGTTAGAAATGTTAGTATACTATGCAGAATGATGAACATGTCATAAGCTCCAACAAGTGCACATAGCAGATTTTGGTTTGACAATGATGATAATATTATGTTAGTTGAAAGGTAAAGTGCCAGACTTCCTTGTAATACAGTTTTATAAACAAAAAAGACAAAAATATAGATTTACAATATGCAATAATAAATTTGGGTACATTTATAGTTGTATTATTTAATTAATATACTTACTTCACCTTCTTCTGTAAATATAGTGTCAGCTTTTTTAGGGTCAAAAGTTTTTAATATCATATCCTTTAGATGATTTTCAACCATGGCTTGTACCTCTGTTACTTTAACTCCTAAAAAGCATAGTGTAACAATAAAAAAGTAATTTGGCTGTTATTTTTAGTAAAGTTGCATTTAAGAAAATTTTATTAGTGAAAATTCCACTCCCTCGCTATGCGCCTACATATTCCCAGACCTAAAGCCTGAACCAAAATTATTTATAAATCAAGTAGTTTGCTCTTTAAAAATAACACTTTCATTTATCTGCATTGTTTACCTCCAAGTATAAGCCATTCTGCCAAAAGATTGGCCATTTGTGCAACTGCACTATAGTTTATGGATAGTTGTTCAATAACTTGTTCAGGATTGCCTCCAGCTTGGAAATATCGCTTCAATTGACTGAAAATTCCTGGTTCCATAATATAATCTGGAGTTTTAAATTTCTCAAGACATTCTTGTAAAACTTCTTCAGGATTTCCGATACCATCGTCGCCACCTTCATCCTAAAATGCATATACAGTGGACGAAAAAACGTTTAAGATTGCAATGCAATAGTTACTAGTAGGTTTGGTGCTAGAAAAATGAGCAAGTTTAGGTACTTCATATTGATTGTGGTTCGATGAATCCCAGCCACGTTCTTCTTCGTACTGACTGGGCATTTTCGTGAAACAAATGAATTTATTTTCTACAATACAAACAAAGAAGATGAGGAACCAATGTAACATAAATTTATGAGCACATTAATAAATAAATCAATAAGAAGACTTGTAAATTGAAGACGGAATTATTGTTTACATTACACTAGAGATGTAACGACTCGACTTTTCAAACCGGTTCAAACCGGTTTGAGCATGGACCGAGTTGAATCGGTTAACGTCTTCGTAAACCGGTTCTACCGTGGCATTCGTTCGTATCGCGCTGCGCGCATGCGCGCCTGTCAATTCTTGTTTATGCCGCCATCCACAAATCGCGTGCGGCTCCTGACGTGCTTTACCGACCCTAATAAAACTTAACCGACCAATACGAACCGACTTACAGCAGCGGATACGGTTAGCGCGCGTCGTCAATTTAAATACAACAGCCATAACCGACTTACCGACCGAACCGAAATGAAACGGACTCTGGTAGATTTGACTGACTTGACGGTGTAATTTTGTTTTCATTATTATGTAATATGCGACGTAATTGCCCAGCTTCTAAAAAAATAGACCAAATATTATTCCTAAATAGTTGTAAGAAAACTTTTTAATTAAGTTGTTTGTACCAAATTAAGTTTCTACGACTCAAATGATTTTACAAAAATAAGTTACGTATTTATTATATTGTTGATTATTAAAATTGTATTTTATTCTCAAAGTTAAGAAGTACGGTTTTATGTAATTAATAGAGTTGATATATTTTTTTGTAATTTTTTAAACACAGTATTACATAGATATTTGTTTATTTTTATTTTGACAATTTTAATTCTGATTATTATTATTTGTTTTCATATTTTAATTGTTATTTTTCAATTACCTTTAAATATTTGCACGATGTAATATCAACAAAATATGTAGAATTAAAAAAAAATAGCACCTGTTGTTTCGTAAGTTTCATTCGTCAACTCGTCAAACGGTTCAAACCGGTTCAAACCGCGGTTTACTGAAAATTTGGCGGTTCGGTTCGGAAACCGATTTGCATGTATTACTAACCGATCAAATCCGGTTTGTCAAAATTCAAGACCGTAACATCACTACATTACACCACAGATCAATAAATATGTAGCACTTTTTTTTTTATTTATTGGCAATGGATACATTGTCCTTATGCCTAGCTTATTACTAAGAACATGCAACTTAAAATATATTAGTTAATTATTTACATTTTACAATTTTCCTACGGTGTTACTTATATAATTAAATATAGGTTTATAAAATAAATGGTTCCCTAAAAGTTTATGCAATTCTGTTGGTATGTCACAATCATTAGTTTCACAGATATTTTGCAGTTTCGATATTATAATTAAACGTTGTACGTTGAACTTTTGACATTTCATAATATTATGTTCTAAATCACAGAGTACCTTAATATATGTTCTAAATCTCCTATTTCTCCCGGGCAAAACACGGACCTGGGGGCCAATCTTAGATTAAAACAAAAAGGGTAGATACGGCACTAGCCTCACAAAAGTGATCCGCATAAATTGTGGCCCAAGGCCACAATCGTTTTAGTCACAACTTGACATGCAAATGACGTACATGTGAACGTCAAAAAGAAATATTGCTAAAATTTTGTGATTTTAAGATAAAACAATGCCTAAGTGTTGTTTTAAAAAGTGCTCAAATTGCTCAAGTACTAAAAATAAAACCGACGGCATCACTTTTCATTCGTAAGTACTATAAAATATATTTTTTCATAAAAATGCTGTTTGTTTTGAATCTTATTCGGTATTTGTTATTAAGAAAAAGACAACAACACTTGTAAACGTTTGTATGAGGGAGAAAAAGCATAAGCGCGAATATTTGCCATTGTAATGTCAGTCGAGAGTAAAAATTGGGTAGAGTCAACAAAAAAAATATTTCGTAATTTTTTTTTGGAATATTAATTTATGTAGGTAAAAAAGATGCTGCATTTATTAAACTCATTACATTTTGGTTTCTTCGAAGAGGTTTATTTATTTTTTCAGACATTTTAGCTTTAATATACTCTGTACTTACAGAAATGGCGTTTTCATTCTTTGTAGGGTTTAAAATTGTTTTTGTAATCTTCTTCTTCTTCCAGTGCCTCTTCAATCCTGAAGGTTGGCCGTTAGCTTCCTGTATGTAGTTCTATCAGCAGCCAGCCGGAATAACTGTTCGACGGAGGCAATACCGGTCCACTCCCGGATATTCCGGAGCCATGACTTTTTTCTTCGCCCAGCACGTCTCTTTCCGTCCACTTAGCCTATCATTATCAACTGCAGCAGCATGTATCTATCGTTCCTGAGCACGTGGCCAAGATATTTTATCTTGCGCTTTTTGATAGATGAATTTAATTAGATTGATTTTAAAAGGGAAACAAATTGTCTTTATTTGAAGGAAAATGATTTCAAATTTTATGTATAAGTGCTTTAAATTAAATAATTTGTTCCTTTTTTGGTGTGTAAATACTATTGTACCATGAGCATTGGCATAACTAATTAGTATAATCTTTTTTATAAGTATATTTGTAGTGCATATATTTTTGTAAATATACTGCTGAACCGACGAAATTCGTACCGCTAACAGTCCATGAATATAATTATCTTTAAATTTTTAGCTTCATTGAATTAACGATTTTACAACCGAAATAAAACAAATACAAAAGAAAATCAATCAGTTTGGTATTTAATGTAATAGATGTAGAGAAAATTATTGAACAATGTGTACTTCAACGGTGTATTAAAATCGGGGATAATTGATTGCCAGGTTTTTGGCACAATATTCTTTATACACAGTCATCCCTTAACCTGTCAGTACCTTAAGACTTCTTTCGATTTAGAATGGTTCTATGTTTTGGAAACTAATACCAAAAGGATAGAGCGCGTGAAAGTTTGGGAGAGAAGGCTTGTAAAGTCACTTCTAAGTAAAAATTGTACCAAGACGTGACGTCATGGGAAATTTCATATCAACATATCTCTGTAATGTTTTAATTATGTGAATAAGAAATAAATACTTGTCCAATACTTTTATTAATCTACCTGGCCGACGAAGAAAAAAAGGTTTTGTCATCAACCCTATTGCCACACAGTAGGTACCTAGTAAGATTCTTACTTCTGTTATAAAGCCCAAGGCATAACTTATGTTTATTTTTATTTATCGATGATGATTATTGTTTTTGTTATTTAATTTTACCTTTAAATTTTTTTTATTATTTAAATGAATAATTTAAAGTATAGTTTAGATTAGATTTATAAAACAAGCAATTCATGCTTAGAAGAGAAATATAATAAGTGTTTCGGATTAGATTCTTTTAAATACTGTAGACGATGAAAATTTCCAAATCCAGCAGTACAAGGTATCTTAAAAAATTGTTGACGGTATCGTATAAAAGACCTACTTTTAGTAGGTACGCTTGTTAACTGATTTTTTATCAGGTGATATAATAATGTGTGTCAAATCAAATCAGTTTATGATTTGTATTGAAATATAATAAGTGTAAAGTTTCTAGTAAAAATTGTATCTCGATTAGATTCTTTTAAACACTGAATACAATAAAAATGACCACAGCCAGCAGTATAAGATTCCTTAAAAAAATGTTGACGTTATCATGTAAAAAAACTACTTTTAGTAGGTATACTTGTAAACAGTTTCATTCCCTCAGCTTTTCAAAGAAGTTTGAAAATTGCTCAATGTGGAATTTTTGAAGTTATACTTCTTTAGGCGCGTTATGAAAAAATGATGAGAGTGAAATTTTAAGATGCGCGCGCATCACTGTAACCCAAAATGTTAACAGCATGAAGTTGGTCGCTTTAGCAACCAACCAACTTCATGCGTTACTTTTGTGTTTACCGCACATTAAGAAAATCTACCAACAAAATAGAAATAGAATCTCTATTTAGTGGGTGCTAACGACTGCATTGTGAAGGGCTATCAAAAGTATTTATTAATCTGGAACAACGGTACCAAAGCGCGATTCAGGAGACTACAGCGCCATCTCTTGACCATTGGTGTAGTAGAACCAAAAACCACATCTTTATTTTTTGTAATAAAGTAACAGTTATAGGTATTCATATTTATAATATCAAAAGTATTTATTAATCTGGAACAACGGAACCAAAGCGCGATTCAGGAGACTACAGCGCCATCTCTTGACCATTGGTATAGTAGAACCAAAAACCACATCTTTATTTTTTGTAATAAAGTAACAGTTATAGGTATTCATATTTATAATATTTATCCACATGTTTCTAGTTTGTATATTCGGAATACGTGTTTGAGTTTCATACAAGTGCAAATCACATATGTTCTAATAAATTATATTCAGTAGCGATTTTAATTGAATATTTTGATTATTTATTTATTTTTTCAGATTAAAACTAAACTTTATTGACTGTGTCCTTTTCCAGACTTTTTATTAATTTATTGTAATTAATTATTTGCATGCAATTAAAAACTAATTTTAAACGATGCCAAAGAAGGATAACTTCTCACGCGCCTACATAAGTACACGCACCCATTTTTTTTATTGAATTTTAATAAAAAACTTATATTTAATAAAAAATACTTTTATTTTTTTCTCTGACGCTACTCTGTAGTGACGTCGAGTACTGGTCGCGTGATTGGTCGGTAGCGCAGTGACGCGGATCTCGCCGTCCCGTTCGCGCTGCCGTTGAAACTTATATTGCTCTTTCGTCCGTTCGATTGTATCTTTACAAACAGGTGGATGTGTGAGTGTTGCATATGTAGTAAAATGGGATCAGTTTTTGTTTGATGCAAGTAAGAGCGTACCGTATCTACCCTTTTTGTTTTAATCTAAGGGGCCAATCGCCTAACGGAAATGCTTTGGAAAACGCTAACGCTTACGATTTTATATTGTTATTTCTAGCCGCCTGAGGTATTCAAATGCCTCGCGCTCTTTCTTTTTCTTTTGCATTGGTAATAACAATATTAAAAAAAATGAGCGTGAGGTATTCGAAAACCTCAGGCGGCTAGAAATAACAATATAAAATCGTAAGCGTTAGCGTTTCCCAAAGCATTTCCGTTAGGCGATTGGCCCCCTGGGGCAAAATGTGCAGTTTGCATTATCCGTAATCCGTAATCGTGTTAAATGGGCCGGTGTTCTACAATGTCCAAATCGTAATCT